CAATTTCCTCAAAGGCCGACAGTGCGCCTTATAATCCGGTCCTTATATTTGGACCAATATTGAGCCACAACAGGTCTAGCAGCTACGGTAAGCAGCCGCCGACTTCATTTTCGCCGTAGAAGAAGAAGCGCGCGGTGCATGCTGGGATAGTTGTCAGAACGCTGGTTTGTTAATAAAGTTTGACTGACCTATCTACCTACCGACCGTCTAGAATCAGGTCGTTTAGCACCACGTTCTCCACCAACATGCTGCGGGCGAATCGAGAAGGGTGACCATCGTCCGGCCACGCCCCGGCCCAGGAAGTCGGAGTCGGACCGTTTTGTTGACATTCCCTTTAGTGCAGCTCCATCTAGTGGATGCATAACGTAACTCCAGCCTCTACTGTAGCGTCTATTCTCTGCGCCTTATAGAGCAGAAAATAAGGTAGTTGGTAAACCAAATATTGAAGCTATTTTCTTCCCGTTAGACTAAACAACCCAAATTATTGCTGTTAATCTTTGATTGTGAAGCTTCAGAAACGGCTCCATCTGGACCACACGGCGCCGTCGTACTGACTTGTGTTTGTGGGTCGAACATCTGGAGAACTTTCTGTTCTGAAAGTGAACTTCTGCCCCAGTTTCACTCAGATCCTGATGGGACAGAACTCGGATCTGTGCAGCTGATCCGGTGCTTTTCCATAATCCAAAGCAATTTAAGGCTGACAGCATCTTTCTGCATTGGGATTTATTACTTCAGAAGAAGCAGGAGTGTGTGAGTTTACAATATTTCTACAGGAGCTTTACACCCAGCTTGCTCTGAAATGGATTCATTCTGCTGTCGACTCGCTGCACAAACCAGCTGAGACTTCTCACCTTCCTCACTCAATTTAAATCACATCAGCGCTCCACTTCCAGCCTGCAGAAACTACCTGAACTTTGTTCCACTGGGTCTTTATTCTTCAGGGCTCTGCTGGAAAACTTGTTCTCCAGCTGACGGAGCGTGGCGGCTGTCACTTCTCCTACCAGAGTTTTATTAGCAGCATAGCAGCGTTGATCTGTGGAGAAGCACGAAGCAGCTTCAGTCAGTCAGCCTGAATCAAGTCCCAGATGATCGCAGTCAGACTGGAGGAGCGCTGATTCACACTGTCAGAAATTAACAGCAGCAGTTCAGGCTGTTTGGCCTGTCACAGAAAAAATGGGATTCATTTTTAGCAGTCATATTATCACCACGTTATTCATTCATTCATAGATGTCACTCAAACCGTCAAGCCTGATGTCGTTTCAAGTACAGTTATGAGTTTTAGAAAAAGCTGCAAATCTAAAAATTGTTTAACAGAAATGAAAACAAATTCCTCCACCCGAATCTCTGAAGATTCTTGCAAAGAAGTCGGCGCTAACAGAGACATTCAGACTGTTAACAGTCTGAACCAAACGCTGAGCCGTTCAGCCGCGGCGCTCAGAGAAGATCCAACCGAACCTGATGACTGGCTTGGCTGGTTTTTAGGCCCGGCTCCACAGCAGCTTTAGCATCAACAGTTTTAGCATCAGCAGCAGCTTTAGCATCAGCAGCAACTTAAGCATCAGCAGCCGCAGCAGCTCTTGCTGTGAGACATTTTCTCGCTCCGCCCCTCCAGGTGTTGTTTACCTGCCTCAGTGGTGAATCCAGCAGATCCTCGCTTGTTTGTAGCGGTTCCTCTTAATGTCCTCCTCGATCTGCTGATTCCTGACGCCATCTTTGTTTCTGGAATGTTTCATCGAGTCCAGCAGCCGAACTAAAACGCCGAGACTTTGCTGCTTAGAAGATCCACAGAAACACAAGAAAATGCCTTCAATAACTTCATCAAAGAAAAAACACGCAACTTAGAAAATGTGTCTGAATTACAATCGAAGCATATCCACCAAACATCCAGCGGCCTGCTGACCTGATTACACAAGGCGCCAAAGCCGTTCTTCTTCTTCTTCTTCTTCTTCTTCTTCTTCTTCTTCTTCTTCTTCGGCGGTTGGCAGACCAACAATAACGGTACACTACTGCCACCAACTGGACTGGCTTGTGTCCAGGAAAATTAACATTAAAACGTGAGATGACTCAAATATATAACTAATAATGTTAATTGAATTAATACTAGCCAGCTTAATTCTCTCCATTTCATTTGTAATTTTCACAAAATAACTTGGCCTTTTATTTTACTTGCATCTCTTGTCAAAACATTATCATGTAAATTTGATACTAATTTTGTTGCTTCCTTTCTGGGTCATAATTCAGTTCATCCCATAAACAGATGCTGTTCAGGCCTGAAGTAAAAATCCATTTATTTCAGGAACTTTATCACTATTTAGACTCAGAATATTACATCACACCCTAAAAACATATTTGGTACAGAAATGTTTTGATTTAATGAAAACATTGTTTCCCAGAAAGCAACTGGATGTTTAATGTTCAGAGTTGATGCTTGTTTTAATGATTAAGTGTTACATTTAGCAAAAAAACAACAACAAAAAAAAAAACAAAAAAAACAAAACGTTTTATTAGGAGCTAGAATCTGATGCAGCAGAAGAAATGATCTCCTTCCTCATCTGACTTCATTTATACTGAGGAACTTTTATTTGTCCAAACTCACATAAAGGCCTTCAGCATATATTACAATGAGAAAACATTTTATTGCCTAAAATGCAAAAACATTCCTTAAGTGAAGGTTTGGTCATTTGGATGCAGCTGAAACAGTCCTAACATCATCAGGCTTTACATGGATCTCATCTGGTCATTCATTTTTGATCAACAGAGTAATAATTGGAAATGGGAGAACCTGAACCAGGTAAAATTAAAACTGGAGGAGTTCTGGGTAGATTTACATCTTAAATGCAAAATACACACACACACACACATATATATATATATATTACAGTTTGGGCTGAATTACAACTAAGAGTATGTTGTTATTTCAGCAAATGACATTTTTTTAGATTAATCAGTTACTAAGTTGATTATTATTTCAATTATCGAGTAATCACAAGTAATCTGATTAATCGTTTCAGGTGTTTAAATCAAGCAGTTTGATAAAAATCCAGAGATGTTCCTGCTGGAGAGCTGCGATGTTTCCAGCTTCGGATCATTAGCGCAGCGCTAATTAGCGAATGTTTCCTGGACAAAGGAAGGACGTCTCACTCCAACCTGAATGAGTCACACGGATCCAGAGACAAGGTGAACATTAATGTGTCTGAAGTCAAAGTGAGATTTTCTCTTGGAGGACACTGCTTTTGTCTCCTAATGAATTGCTTTGAGTCAGTTTCAGAGCAAATTATCCCTCCCTCTCCACCTAATTTTCCAATTTGCTGTGTCATTTAGAGCTAATGGAGGAGCGCGCTGGGCTGGATTACTCTCACAAATAGGGTGATATAGTTTATTGAAGGTCTGCTTTCTACAGAGAGGCTGCAAAGCAAACATCAATTGGAGACAGAGGAGGCGAGCAAACAGCCTGTAATTATTCCTCAAAGGCTGCAGCGCTCCTCTCCTGCTTCGTGGTTCTGCCCGACCTGGACCGAACCGAACCGGGCAGAAAACAGACGATCAGCTGAGTTACCAGCCTTTGATTAAGATCAGAATAAAAATTCTACTTATTTAGCCTCAAGCTAAATATTTTAAAATAAACTTTATTGATCCCCAAGGGATAAACGTTTATTTATTGACAAGCTCCTCCCATCCAGTTAAATTATTACATACAAAATAATAAGAAATTATTTTAAAAATTTAATAAAATCAATTAAACAAAAAATAAAGAAAATAAAAACATGAACTCGGAAAGATGAAACATTTAGTAAGAAAGCTAATTGTTTAGCCAGCAAGATAAATATTTGGCTTCAATAATTTGCTTTGGGGGTAAACTGCTTAGCTGACAAGCTACCGTCACCCAGAGTTAAATATTAACAAATATAACACTGAGTCAATTTATAATTCAAATATAAAATACAGAAGTATGTACATGTAAATATGGGTTACTTAATTAGCAAGCTAACAATTTAGCTTCAAACTGAATAATTAGCTAAATATTTATTTTGGAGCTGAATAAATATTTAATTAATAATATGGTGAAAATATGAGTTTGAAAAATTAGCCCCCAACTTTCCGCGACAGGCTAAATAAACCAAATTATTTAACTTAAATTCATTTCTGACTGCAACTTTACAGGCGACGCCCTCAGTTCGGCTCTGTGACGTCACGACCCGACCCGTCCAGACCGGACCGTCTCAGAACCGAACTGAAAACCTACCCAGACGTTCAAACAGCTCATCGTCCAGCCAGCTGAGTGAAGTTGGATCGGATCCGCTCAGAACCAGGACGATTAACCCACACATGGCGACATGCTGCCCCCTGCTGGCCCCGGCGCCGAACTGCAGCGGGATCTGAAAACGTCTCCGTTTCTTCTTCAAACTGATCATTTATTCAGCAACATGCTGGTTGTTCACAGGGATAACCGGGCATATTCACAGAAAGTTCAGTGGAAGGAAAACATAACCCCAGCCTGGAGCAAGTCATGTTAAGCCACTCCAGAACCAGAGAAAACATCAGAACCACCTTATCTGGGCTGAGGAGAAAAGGAACTGTTACTGAACAGAACCTGGAAATTCTGGATTTCTGGATACAAATCACTTTTATGGTGTGATGTGATATTCTAATGTTCTGGATCATCAGAACCAACAGAATCGATGATTTCTCGCTGAGGAACGGACTCCACTTTCTTCTTTTTCAACAGAACTCCTGACACCGATGTTCTGATTCATTAAACCGGATCCATTCAGACATGAAGCTGCATCAGAACCGGCCCAGAGGTTCAGAAGGGTCGGGTCCAGAGTTCTGGATCCAGAGCTTTGACCTGTTCTGGGCTTCATGGAGGTTCTTCTCTGTTCAGAAATAAAGTCTATTTATTTGGTTCTGATGAATTTTCTCCAGGTTCTGACCGGTTAAAACGGGCCGGAGTCCCAACAGAACCAGACGTTTGATGCTCAGACAGGCAGGACCGGCAGGAGGAGGTTCTACTGGGTTTATTGAAACATGGAATATTTACAGAACTTGTTCTGGATCAAATGGATCTCAGAGGGCAGAATCAGTTCTGATCGATTTTTCAACAGAAAATTTACAAAAAACTAAAACCAGAAAAAAAGAACCAAAACAAAAAAACAAGAATATAAAAACCGGGCCAGAGCTCCAGCTGCTGCTACTCCGACGGCCCGCAGAGCGTGGTCAGGCGGTTCTGTCAGAAACCACAGAAGAAGAGAATGATTCTGGGACGCAGAGACAGGAAGTGATGCAGAGGAAGTGATGGACCCACCTTCAGCAGCCGGATGCTCCTCAGCGCCGACTCGTCCAGCAGCGTCAGGTCCAGAGAGTCCATCTCACTGGCCAGCAGCTGGATGCTCTGAGGGTCAAAGGTCGGGTTACAGAGGGGCCGCGGTCCGTAGCTTCAGCTCATTAGCATGGCTAAACAAATACTTCCAGATTATTCTTAAAACGCATCAAAGTCTAAAATATTCATATATTAAATAAAATAAGATCACCTATTAATAATTCTCTTACTGAACAATAATTGTCATAATTTAAGTAGATTTTGAGTTGGACTCAGCCTGTAGCTACTGTCAGAGCGCCCTCTAGTGGACCAATCAGGGACAAAAACACATTTATTCTCATAATCGCATCTTTTCTGAGATTAAATGTGTTACAGGAATAAACGCCACGTGTTCATGGGAAACAGTTTATTACTCTTTTCTCTACTTTGATTATTGTACGTGCATTTACTGGACTTTTTTCAGAATCATTCCTGCAAAATGCAGTTAAATTGTTTTTATCTTTATTTCTTGTTATTCGCTTTAAATCATTTAATATTCATACGATTACAGCCACACACGGGACGAAAAAAGGAACAAGAATGTCCTCTGGATGTATTTCTGTTAGCACATGCGCTAATTAGCTGATGGTGACGGGACTCCAACACTCACCTCTCCGTTCCCGACTGGAACGTTGATGACGATGTCACTTCCTGCCTGGATGGGGGAGCCGTTGACCGACATGCTGAAGACCCGCTCCTTGTGGCGCGGGACTCTGACGGCGGGCGTCTTCGGCAGTCTGAGGAGGCAGAGCCATGAGGCCGACGCCACCACGCCGCGGCCCAGGTGAGTCTGACCAGGTGAGTCTGACCAGGTGAGACTGACCAGGTGAGTCTGACCAGGTGAGTCTTACCTGGGGTCGAAGCGCGGCGTGATGAGGGGGGTGGGGCCCATCATCAGGGAGGAGTCCAGCAGGTTCCTGGCGGGGGTCACCAGAGGCTTCCTGTTGGAGCTGAACACACAGGAAGCTCAGAGGGGCGGGGCCTAAAGGGGCGTGGCCTATACAGAGGGGGAGGAGTCAACACGCTCACCGTCTGATGGTGCTGCCCTCCTTGCTCATATCCAGAACCTTTGACCTCTTTGTTGTAGACGGGGGTTTTCTGGCGGTTCGGGTCTGAATCAGAACCAGAACCAAGACGTCGTCTCGTTACAACCAGAAACGGCTCCTGAATTTATTTCCAAGCTCTGACAGTTAAACGCTTTGATCAGTATGACGAGTAACAAAACGTCACATTTACTTCCCTACATAAACACAAAGCGTTCCCTCTGTTCTTCTGGACAACGGGGATCACAACAATGCTGCTTAAGGATATTTCTAAAGTAGCGACACAGAATTAGTGACTGATGACAAAACTGATCCTGAAGTGCTGGAGGAAGCGACTAAAACCGGCCCGACGAACCTTCCTGGTGGAGTTCAGGACGTTTTCGTTGCAGCCGGACTTTGCTCCACCTTTCTTCCTGGTGGCTGCAGGAGGAACCAGAACAGAATCAGCAGCAGACCTTTACCGGTCCAACAGAACCAGAGACTTTCACTGACTTTTCTTGACAGACTTGAGGAGGACGGCGTGGTCCTCCGCCACCACGCTCTCCAAGATGGCGGCCTCCTCTCGTCTCTGCTCAGAGGAAACGGCGTCGGGTTAGGACAGCCGGACCTTCAGGTGAGGAGAAGAGACGAAGAGTATGCTCACCTTTACATCGTCTACCTCTGCAGCGTTGGATTTGTCTGGATCTGCAGAGAGAACCGGAGCGATCAGAGCGAGACGGAGGAGGGCGGAGCTTCCTGACTGACGGGACTCACCGCCACAGAGCTGCAGCCAGTTCATCTGCCTCACGGCTCTGGGCAGCTTGATCAGAGCCATGTTGTAGCCGTTATCCACGTCCTTCAGCAGCTGGTTGATCCTCTCCCTCATCTGGCCCACTCTGGTCTTCACTGCACAAACACAGACAGCGCGGTGAAAAAGGAGGAGGAGGAGGAAGAAGAGGAAAAGGAAGAGGAGATCTCAGTTTCTCAGCGGGTCTAAGGAGTTCAGTGAAATGTGACATTAAGTTTATAATGGTTCACTAAAAACTGAAATAAAAACTGTAATTAAAGGAGAAAACTATAACTAAGTGATACTATGCTGTAGGTTTATTAAACATATTGTAATTAGATATAATATCCTTCATTTCTGAGTTTATGAATCCATTTATTAGCCTTTCAAACTGATGTGAAACTGTTATGTTTTCCTCCAGTTTCCATCAGCAAAATGTTCACTGCAGAAACTCCAGTCTATTATTAACTGAATACCTTTTTTGTAAATGATTTCTTCTGTCGAGTATTTTTTACCCAATCAATATAAACATAATCACCTAAAATNAACCAAAATATGAAAAAACTAAAACTATAACTAATAAAAGCTAACTGAAACTGAGCTACATTTAACTAATAAACCAAACAAACCCTCTCTAAAGACTAATTAAAAATAACTGAATTAGACAAAAAGTCACAACAAAATAAAACTAAACATAATAAAAAACCCAAAACTGTTATGATCCATCCGTCGCAGAGATTTAATCCCCACCAGCAGCTCTGGCCGGTTTGGACCTGCAGGTTCAGCAGACAGGAGGCATTTCACTCAGACGCAGCAGCTTCTCACCTTGAAGCTGCTAACACCTTTGCATGTTTCATTTTTATTTATTTTACCTCCTCTTTTAACGGCATATAGCCACATATCTTTGCTAAGAGATTAAAAAGTACACCTAACATTCATTATGGTCTCATATTTAGTTTTTCAGCAAGGAGAAGTGAAAGTGATGGACAGCAGGAGACTGGAGAGGCTGGTTCATGTAATAAATTATTCTTCGGGTTCAAATTCACTTTATGAAGAACATTTAAAATAACACCAAGTTAACTGTATTAATTATACAGTTCAGACTGAGTTAAAAGGTTTGAAAGTGACTCAAATGGAAGCAGAGCCGTTTCCTGGCCTCTGCAGGTCCGAGAAAATCCCAGAAGGTAGGAAGAAAAGGAATCAACAGTGGGAAGGATTCAGCCCAAAAAGAATCGGATCATATATGGCCCTAAAACGGATCCGCTGTTCGTTAATTAATAGACATAGAAAATACTTTATATCTATTTTTCTGCAGATACCCCAGTGCAGCAGAATAACATGAGTTTCGAGTTATTTCCTGCAACTGGAGTCATACCTTCACTGTCGAAATCCTCCAGAAAAGCCTCCAGCTTAGCCGTTTTCGGGCTGTTTTTCCGCTGCTTTGTGGTTCTTTTCCTGGGAGCCATGTCTGCAGGACACGGAGTCAGCCATTAAACACACAACGGAGCTCGTTTTAACAGACAGAATAGACGTTAAGTGCATCAATATGGAGGGTTTAACGGTAGCAGCCGTTTCTCTCCGTTGGCTAGCATGTTAGCAGCACGAGAACCAGCTATTCATGAATGATTATCGGTCAACAGCTGAGTTCACAAAACTCACATCATCTCAAAACATCTTAGGAAATCTAACTACCAACCACATAACATTTTATTGAAGAGTACAATACCTGAAAATCAACGTCTCTTTTCTAAGACTGCTCTCCCTCCTTTTCCCTGCAGTTTTCAAATCTCTGTGATGGGAGTGACCGAATCATCCCCTCAGCCAATCAGAGCCCACGTTTGTCCTTCATGATCAGAAAGCGTTTATCGCGATTGGTTTGTTTTCATGCTGCATTTAATTGTACATATGAACTCGGAATTTCGTCCATATCGTGTTGTGCACATTTTGCTGATAATAATTTGTTTTTAAGATTTTAAACCATTTCAAAGAAAAGAAACGTGTAAAGACAACTGCTAAAATTTAACAAAAATTAAGTATAACAGTAAAATAGCTTGGAAATGGTGAAGGATATTATTTATGAAATATTAAATAAAACGTTTAGGATATTGGAAAATGTACCGGACGCACAGTTCCTTTGTAGAAAATAGCTCTTTGGGTCAAATTCAAACCTAGAGTTTTTCTGTTTGGGATTTCAAGGTGTTCCAGAAATTGAATATTTTACAGAAAAGAAAATTCAAGTTGTTGATTTTCCACTTTTAAGGTACATTGAAGGTACCACAAATTATTGTTTACATCAGCAGACCGGAAACGGTTTGAAGCGTCATGGCGAACGCGTGTTGCAGCTTGGTGGCTTAAAGACGGGAAGAATTTGGGTTTTTAAATCTTAGCTGAACCCTGCATTGAGCTCCGGTCAGTTAATAATTTGACCTTTAACCTTTATGTAAATCTGAAACATTGTGGTATTATTTCCTTTCTCTTGTGGGCTCGTGTCTGCTTTAATAGTGAATTGACCATGAACTTTGTCGGCCAGATGTCCCTGCAGGGGGCGGTCAGGAGGAGCTTCATGGCTCTCCAGGACCAGCGGGCGGCGTGGAGGAGCGTGCTGGTGGAGTGCGACCCCCTTATGGAGTCTCTGGGGAACCTGGGGCAGCAGATGAAGGCTCTATCCCGGGTCCGGGTCTCCGACACGCCGCTCAGGGCGTTCCCGGACCTCCAGGAGCGGCTGCAGTTCCAGCTGCTGCAGGCTGTGGACCTGCTGCTGCAGAGACTCAGGGACAGGATGTGAGTGGACCATCAGGACTGACTGGGACACCCAGATGTCCCCTAGAATAAGTAAACCACAGGTTATAATGATTTAAGTGGTTACTGACACCTAGTGGCCGTGTTGGAGATAACAATGAGGAAAAGAATATTCCTGAAGATCTTTGATCCTCTCATTCAGCAATCAGCAGACATTATTGATCATATTAATAACAGAAATCAATAACCTGGTCAGTAAATTAAATATAGAAGTCCTAAAACAGCGGTGTTCAGAGTGTGGCCCCTTAGAGGGGTTTTGTGTGGCCCTCGACCGCAGCTCAAAACTGGCACAAACTGGGCTTTCTGTAGTTCGTTTTGCAAGTGAATTTTTTCTTGCTCTAAAAAAAACTATTGTAGAAACAACACAATGTACTCGTCTTTATCAAACATGTTTTTTGGGGGGATTTGCTTTAATTTCAACATCATCACAAACATCCAGTGACTTTGGTGCACCAATAGTAAACTCTGCTATTTAAATGTAGAGTTTCTGAAGAACAAGCGACTCATCCTGTCATTGTTCCTGAGAATAAACCCAAAAAACAATCGATGACAGGAAAAACCTCAATATTCAGGATAATGTTAGCAGGTTTTTAATTTAGAAAAAAGCCAAACCTGTGAGCTTGTTTCAGATCAGCAACTCCCTTTTCTACAGAAATCAAACTTCTTTATTCTATTAAATATTGTGTTGTTTATTTTTGTCCAGGTAAAAGTAAAACATCAATTTTTTATCAAATTAAAAAAAAATTTTGTTGCCCTAAATTACTTTCAAATGGACAGTTTTGGTCCAGATGTCAAATAGTTTGTACACCCTGATCCTGCTTCACACCCGGTTTATCCTGCAGCCGTCCCTCAGACTGGACCCAACTGCCTGGATCTGGTTCTGGACCTCATCAGTGATTAGATGAATGTTAGCCACCTAGCTGTGACCTCTGACCTCCTGAGCTTCTACACTGCAAAAACACAATTTCTGTCAATTACAGATTACACAATTACAATTTCAGGTAATTTCTGTCTAGTGTTTCCCTTCTGCCACCTGGATTGTATCTCTGGGTGATTAACAGGATCTGCAGCACCTGATGGTCCTGCACTCATTTGATCAGCTGTTCTGGAACAGAGGCTCATCTAGAACATGCAGAGCAGGGGGGCTGAGGACCAGGGTGGAGAAACACGGGTCTAGACCAAACCTGGTAATGTTCTGTGTAATCTAAAGACATCAGCAGGACCTTCAGCTGACGGTCCGTTCTGATTGGTTGTCTCCTCCAGGTCCCGCCTCCAGGCCATCAGGGACTCCGTTGGCGGCCATGTTTCTGCCGTCCTGCAGCTCTACCAGGACTCCGCAGACAGTCTGGATGTTGCCGTGGCGACGCAGCGCTCCTCTGTCGCTCCATCGCTCGCCGACATGTTGGAGTGGCTTCAGGACGCCGAGCGTTTCTACAGACGGCAGTATCCTTCCTGCTCTCCGTGAGGCGTTTGAGTGCCGTAGGGTTTGTGAGTTCTCCTGAACGCTTGGCCAGGTTCCTGCAGAGGAAGACTCTGCTGCTGACGCTGAGGCGGGACGATCGCGCGCAGCTGGAGGGCGCGGCCAACGCCTGGAGGAGTCTGGACTCTCCTGATGCAGAGCAACAAATCACAGGTGAGGTCATCACTCACCTGAGTCATGAACCTATGGCAAGTTAATTAAAGGGCCAGTATCATGTAACATCATCATGTTGTATCGTTATTACCTGGAGTGTTTCTGATTCATGTTTGAGAAATACTTTAATCTCCATGGCAACCATTCAGCTGTCCAAAACACCTGGTGGACCTAACCTAGTGTGGAAGCTTCAATTCAAGATGTCTGCAAGAAATGACTGACTATCTGAAACGTCTCAGATATAAGCAGTTAAATTGTGACGAGTCATGAAGTAGATTTAACATATCTAACTTTCTGTTCTAGAAAATACTCAAAATGCCAAAACTGTAAACATTTTGCACTTAAGATAAAAAAACAAATTTATCTTTGAATCTGTTCTACCAGAACTCCTCTAGTTTTCTGGTTCATATTCTGCAGAAAATCTATTAATCACATTTTAAATCCAATTATCAGTCAATAATTAATCATCAGTATTGGTAGTAGGGCAAGAAGAAAGGCCTGATGTTGACTTATTTAGCTGCAGATGATCAAACATTCACTAAAAGATGGAATGCTTTTTACATTTTAGGCAATAAAATGTTTATTATCTAATCCAAAAATAAATTAGGAAAAATTTCTTTATATGCAATTTTATATGTTTCTAATATTGAATAAATAAGCTTAAGTGGTTAAATGAAACATCTGAAAATCGATCCCTGAAAGGAACGTTAGTTTGAGCCCTAAAATGCTGATATGTTAAATTATCATTCAGGTTGGTGGTGATGGAGCCGCGTAGCGTCCAAACTGGACACCTGGAGTGTAATTACAGAAAGGCAGACGAAACCGATTATATGCTAAAACGGCCTGCCATATGAAACTCTCTGTCTCCTTGCAGATAATCTGTGCAGACTGGCCTTCTTCCTGGAGGCCCAGTGATCCGACCTCAGACCCGCTACTGGATCAGAACCGGCTGAACTGATCGGACCCAGAAAGAGACACGGCTTCAGGTCTGAGCTGGTTTATTGGACCACAGCACACGCTGACACATCAGGGATGAACACAAACCAGAGAAACGGATCAGGAACCGGGAACGATCCCAACGCACTGCAAAAACACAAAATATTACCAAGAATTTCTGTCTAGATTCTCCTGCAGAAATAAATCAATTAATCGCATCATAAATTATAATAATTTCTATTCTGATGGAAATGATGCAGTTTTGTTTAAAGAGATTTTATAATCCATTTGTTTATTTATTGTTTTTGTGTTTTTTTAATATTTAACATATCTCCTAGCACAAGTCTTTAGTGTTCTTTTAATAAAATTAAAATTAATTTATCAATTATTTAACTTAGAAATGGTGTGTCACAATAACAAATCTTATTGGACGATAAATTATCCCAGAAGTTACTGCGATAAACGATAATATTGTTATAAAATTATGGCATAATAATGCAAGAGCACACTCTGAGAGATAAATAAACTTTAAATTCAAACAAACATTCAACACTGGAGCTGGAAGACGATTTAAATATTCACAAAAAATAAACAAAACAAATAAAATCAGTTATTAAAAAAAACACCAAGCTGAATAATTTTATCATCCAGTTTTAGGTAGAAAGAGAAAAACCAAGCAAATGAAAATTACTTGTCATTTTAATTTATCAAGCGATTAATAGATTTATCGTTTATCACAATATTTTCTGGGATAATTTATCGCATCATTTGTTATTGTGACAGACGGAGTTGGAAGTTGGTTCAGTTTTAATCCAAGGGAACCAAAAAACGAGACGAAATCACTTGAGTTTCAGCAGCGAGAGGAAGAACTCTTCTTCCTCCTCCTCTTCCTCCTGCTCTTCCTCCTCCTCTTCCTCCTGCTCTTCTTCCTCTTCCTCCTGCTCTTCTTCCTCTTCCTCCTCCTGCTCTTCTTCCTCTTCCTCCTCCTGCTCTTCTTCCTCTTCCTGCTCTTCCTCCTCCTGCTCTTCTTCCTCCTGCTCTTCCTCCTCCTCTTCCTCCTGCTACACGTACTCCTTCATCGGCAGGCTGTTGGAGGCAATGGGCTTCGGCGGCTCCGGCGAGTTGGCGAAGCTCCTGCCGATGTACCCTCGGCGGTAGCGGCCGCCGCGCTCCATCAGCGGGCAGGTGCTGCTCAGGACGGCGCCGCTGATCATCAGGATGACGGCGGCGGCCCAGCCCAGGTAGATGGCCTGGCCCAGCTCCCGCTTGTGCATGATGGGAACGTTGGGGTTGTAGAAGTCCTGCACCACGGTGTTGGCGGTCCAGGAGACGGGGATGAGGACGCACAGCCCCGTCAGGATGAAGAGGACGCCGCCGGCCAGCGCGATGCCGGCCTTGGCGCGGCGGTCGTCGCCTGCGCAGGTGGTGCACTTCATGCCGCAGCAGGACACGGTGCAGGACAGCCAGCCCATGAAGATGGCGAGGCACATGAGGGCGCGCGCCGCCTGGATGTCGGGCGGCAGCGCCAGCATGGAGTCGTAGGTCTTGCACTGCATGTGTCCGGTGGTCTGGTACACGCAGTTCATCCAGATTCCCTCCCACTTCATCTCTGACGTCAGGATGTTGTTCCCGATGAACGCCGACACCTTCCACTGCGGCAGCGCCGTCACGGCGATGGCCATGATCCAGCCCGTCACCGCGCAGGTGAAGCTGATCAGCTGCATCCCCGTGTTCACCATGGCAACGGACTCTTCTGGAACGTCTGCTGGGAACTCTGGTCGGATTGGTTCTGGCTGCTCTACGGTCCACAGGCGGCCATGTTCAGGTTCTCCTCCGGACCCGTCCGGACATCCTGGCCCCGGTCAGAACCCTGATCCGACTGTCTGTTGCTCGGGTGACAGAACCTGATCCGACCCGCTGCCGTCACTCCAACAGTGAAACCAGGCTGCGGCTCTGGCCTCGGCCTTGATCCGGGTCAGAACCGCCGGCTTCAGGGTCCAGAGTCAGTCCTGCTGAAGAAATTCCCGGTTTTCCAGATCCTGAACGGAGCCGGCTGCAGCTGGAGGGTCTGCTGGGAACAAAGAGTCCGTCTGAACGGAGAGCGGCCCCTCCCCCGGCGCCGAGCCCTGACGGGTCAGACGGGCTTCAGACGGCTGGACGGACGGATTGGGTCTGGAAACACGGACACGGAGCTGCTGATAAACATTTACTCCATGAATTAAAGATGGAGGCTTCGAGGTTCTGCTGCTCGGGTTTCCTTTCTCCGGTTGCCGGCCGGCTCCTCGGTAACCGTGGCCATGGCAACCGGAGGCGGTAAACGGGCCAGGAGTAAGGAAGGTGCTTTTTGTTTCTCCAGGGAAATATTCAACGTTCCCCCAGTCAGAGGATCCAGGATGGAGGTTCTGGTTCTGAGAGCGAGTCTCTGTGTGTGTGTGTGTGTGTGTGTGTGTGTGTGTGTGTGTGTGTGTGTGTGTGTGTGTGTGTGTGTGTGTGTGTGACCTTCTGCCAGAGGTCAACTGGATTTATTTTTGGTTTTCAGCCTGGTTCTTTTTGTTTTTTTGAAGGATAAATTAGTTTCCATAAACGTCATAATTCATTTAATTTGTTGATTTATTTTTCAGTTCCAGTGTTAAATGTTCATGAGAATTTAAAGTTTTCTGATCTTTGAGAATCTGCTCTTGCATTTTTATATCACTGGAAAATGGTCTCAAAACAACAATATTATCCTTTATCGCCACATTTATTACCAGAAAAATGTGTAACTATAACAGGCTTATGAACCAACTAATGTTTCTAAATATAGATTTAATAACAAATGCAGGTTTTTTAAAATCTTCTTTTCCCCTGAAATATTTGTTTTGAATTTCAACATACAATAAAAATACCAGAAATATGTTCTGATCTATTTGTTGGAAATTATATGAATTATTGAATGTATTGATCCATTAATTTTGCTGGTATGTTTAATCTCTGGAGGATGCTGCTGATCAGTAGTATCTGTTTGAAAAGTCAGAAATCCAGAAGTTTCATCATTTCTTTGAGTTTATCTCAGTTAAAGTTTTGCTTTAAAATTTTCTCTTCATTTAAATGGCATCAATTTAACGCAACATGCAGACATTAAGGTAGTGATAATAGGTCAGTGGAATATGACCATTTATGTCTTCAGGAACAATAATCTCTGGTCAACATTGAAGCCACATGAACAGAGTAATTATTGAAATTCCTTGAGCTCCATTTTTTCTATAGTTTTAAAGTGCTTATAAGAAAATATGGACATGTATTTGTCTTCAAAATATTACTTTTAGTACAAGTACGTTGTAAGTAAAACGTCAGTGCCAGCTATTCCTGACGCCAAGCGGCAGGGGGAGCTGTTGTAATAAATGACAATTAGTTTTGTTTTGGTATTTACTTTGTTAAACGCTGTAAATCACATGTTTTTGATCAGACTGGAGCTCTGCTGTGTTTTGGAAAATATATATATATTATAAATGATTTTATATCTAAACCCTTTTGAAGGTGGTCTCACGACAGAATTTTTTTTTACTACTTCCGGTTTTCCAGTCGGACGTATTTGCATAAACAGCAGCAGAAAGAGGAAGGAAGAAGAAGAAGAAGCTGCAGGAGCGGCATATTTATAATAACACCGGGATAGTGGGAGCAGAAAGAGTTGATTCTTAGCAGCAGCAACTCTGATAAACTTTCACTCCGAACTATTCAACACACGAAGAAGAAGGAGCCTGTAAGACTGAACTCAGGACAAATTTACCCGCTCATCAGCTGATTTCTGCGAGAAAGGTGAGCTTCCGGTCCGACATGTTGACCTCAGGTGTGCTCTGTGTCCTGCAGAGTCAAATGATTGCCGGCAGGTGAGCCGCTGGCCCACCCAGGGAAACCAGACCAGTCCAACAGAACCGGGACCAGTTACACAGCCATAAACCTGCGGTACCGCAGAGTTCAGAGTGGGAAAGGAGAAATGATTCAGGAATTCATGAAAAAGTCGCTGCCTGTGTTCAGAACTATATTAGTAATTTCTGTTCCGGTTCTAGATTCATTTAAAATGTATTAGTAAAGTAGAGGAAGGAATATAAACGGAGTTTCTGTAGAAACTGGAGAGGTTCTGGCGGGTCCAAGACATCAGAACCTTCAGCTCGGTAGTTTGTTTACATTCCAGTTGATCAATAAATTAATCATAGAAATCCATTATAAACAGTAAATATAATGGACCTGAAGACTAACTTATTGGTACCAGAATTTTATGGTGTTAAAATAAATAAAATGGAAAATCAAGTTAGAAAAAAGAAAATGATTATCAGCTTTAATAAAACGAAAAATGGAGGAGATGGAAAAAACGCTGCATGAAAAAAGAAAATAATTCACAGAAAGACAAGAGATGAGAACAGGGCTGAACAGAACATAATCCATCATCATGAAGAATGTGAGATTATAGATTATTTAGATCAGATTACTGCATCAGAAATATGAGGAAGAAAAAATAAAGTGATTGTAGGAGAGACAAGACATTTAATTTACTGGCTGGTGAAAACTCAGGATTAAATGTCTTGGTCTAAAATTTAATATTTATTAGAGATACAGAATATGTCAACATTATTAACATCATGGATCCAATCAGTGAAACTGGCTGATAGTAAAGACATTTACTTCCGTCTTGTGACCATTTATTTTGTGGTGGTTTGATGTTTGTCTGGTCATCTGACAGTAATGAGGATGCAGCAAAGAATTATGGGTATTTAACTGAAGCAGTGAAGGCGGTGTGATCACTTTTACAAGGGGTAAAGAAATGTGTATAATATTTTCCATATTTTACCGTCATTTCGCCAGATTTCAATTCACTCATCTGACGAGTGGGTGGAGACATTTTCAGCGTTGCACACAGAGCACGTCTGACTGTGACCTCTGACCTGGACTCTGAGCTAAATGCATCTCGTTTTCCCAGAGACATTTACTTCAGTCCAAGCAGACGCAAAGATCACGTCCATGTTCATAATTTAAGTGTGATTGTTAAGCTTATAGCTGCTGCGATCAGTCAAAACCTTCCTAATGTTTATCTTGGATTAAAGGGCCAGTGTCACGTCAACGCCGCTTTGTTTTTATCGTTCCTTCAGGTTTTCATGTTTTTCCCTCATCAGAAACAAACCTGCAGTGTTGCTTTGATTCTTTCATGTATGTTTGAGAAATCCTTTAATCTCCATGGCAACCGTTCAGCTTCAAACGCCTGGGTGGACCTAACCCCGCCTTTGAGTCTTAGCTCCTCCCCCACTCAGCCATGTTGGGATGACTTCCTGGAGGCGGAGCTTCTTAAAGAGACAAAGGCCCAATTTCAAGGCACTAAATCAGGAAGTCAAATTTGATACATATAGCAGTTTTTATACCCCCTTTAACACATTTATATGATGGGATGCCTGGGTCCAGTGACGCTATGGTCCAGAACCCAGACCAGTTGGTGGCAGTAATGACCCAGTTTGCCACCAAGAAGGAGAAGGGGAACCGCCGGGTGTTCAGAGTCCCAGGTGAAGGTCACAAGAAGGACGTCAGGCTTTGTCTGAAGCAGCTGGACCAGTTAAACCAGTAGAGGTCCAATATGGACCAGGTGTTCCCAGCTGCTCCCCTGCTGGTCTGACTCTGGATGCGTCTCTGTGTTCCTGCTGCTCAGGGGAACCTCGGCAGGATGCTGGAGCAGCAGGCCGACCGGGTCATGGAGCTGTCGGAGTGGAGCCAGCGCTGGCAGGAGAACAAGATCGGCTTCCATCAGCCGGAGGTCCACAGGTAACCGTGGCGACTGCGTGTCCGGAGAGCCAGCTGGGTCAGAACTCAGCTGAGTTTGAACCAATCAGAACCTGAATGTCTCCCATGTCTAACAGCATGCTGCAGATGAACTACGAGGCGGTGGTGAACGGACGGAGCGGCGTCCGGTGGTTCTTCCCTCTGTGTGGGAAAGCTGTGGACATGAAGTGGTAGGAACCTGGTCTGGTCAGATCCGGTTCGGTCCGGTTCGTGTTCATCAGCTGGCTGTGTCTGACCCGGCTCAGGTTGGCGGATCTGGGTCACTCGGTGGTCGGCGTGGAGTTTTCAGAGATGGCCATCAGACAGTTCTTCCAGGAGAACAACATGACGTTCAGCGAGGAGGACGTCCCCGCCGTCCCCGGAGCCAAAGTCTTCCAGGTGGGTCGACCCGGAACCGGAGTGGCTGTTTGGGTTCATTCAGTCTGACTGGTTTTCTCCCAGTACAGTTGTCTGACTGGTTTCCAGTTTATCTCCAGAGATGATCTGGAACTCAACAGGTTTAACTTCTGATGCCGGCGGTTCTGCAGGATGCAGGTCATTCTGTGAGGTGCAGAAAGTTCTGTAGATGGTCTGCAGCATCCAGCTGGTCCTCCTGCTGGTCCTCCTTCCTGCTGGTCCTCCTGCTGGTTCTCCTTCCAGCTGGTTCTCCTTCCTGCTGGTCCTCCTGCTGGTTCTCCTTCCAGCTGGTCCTCCTGCTGGTTCTGTTCTGGTGTTCCTCCTGTCATAACAGCAGATCTCCCTCTGGTGGTTTTATTCTGTCCAGAACTCGGAGGGCAGCGTGTCCCTGTACCAGTGTGACCTGTTCAGCTTCTCCAGGTGAGTTGTCCTGCTGGACGTCCAGGGAGACGTCGGCTGTCTCTGAGCGGTTCTGTGTTGTGCTGCAGCGCCGTGGCGGGTCAGTTCGGGGCGATCTGGGACAGAGGCTCTCTGGTGGCCATCAACCCCCGGGACAGGGACCGGTGAGTCCAAACGGTCCCCGCGTTCCTGAGCGTTCCTCAGCGTCTCCCGGTCCTGACGTGTCCTCCGTCCTGCAGGTACGCGGCTCTGATCGTCTCTCTGATGGCTCCAGACTGCAGATACCTGCTGGACACGCTGCTCTACAATCCAGAGCTCTATAAAGGTGGGTTACCATGGAAACCGTAAGACGTGACGTCATGCTGTGGCGCTCATCGTGTCTGTCCTGCAGGTCCTCCGTTCTTCGTCCCCGATGAACAAGTCCAGAGTTTGTTTGGTGAGTCTGAGCTCCATCCTGGACCAGGAAGTAGCCTGATCCCAGCAGCAGGTCCTGGGTATTTACTGGGACGGCTTGTTGTTGTGTTGCAGGCAGCAGGTGTGACGTGAAGCTGCTGCAGTCTGTGGACGCACTGACAGACCGACAGAGGGCCTGGGGTCTGGACGCTCTGACGGAAAACGTCCACCTCCTCACCCTGAAGGCGGCGAACTGACGTCCGACCCGGTCCGACCCGGTCCACTGACCTGCTCCGGTTCTCCTGTCAGCCACGCAATAAAGCTGCTTTTTAAACAGAGTTCCTGCTGTTCTGTCACTTCTTCAAACCTAACAGAATTGGTCTCCATCAACTCTTCTAAGTTTGTGCTGCTTTTGCTTTGAACATAAAAACAAAAACTGAAAGGTCAACCAGCCGAGTCCAACATCGGCGTCAAACGATTCTGCAGCAAAACTTTACGTGTACCGCTGTCATTTTAAAGAGATTAATAAAATAGTTTCCAGAGGTCAACCAGTCCACCGGCTCACATTTACAAAATCAAACACATTTAGTGTTAATCAGGAAGTCATTGATGTTTGTGCAGCAAAAAAATGTATTTGTGCTGCGTTTGTTCTGAAGATTTTAATTTTGATGAAGTTTTTTCTTAATATCTTTAAAATGGAAGCAGCACAAACAAACATTTGACACCAGTTTTGTTTCACTTTGAAGAAGCTTGGAGGAAAACCGTCTCGGGTCGGGTTGGACCGGTTCCATCCAGATCCAGTCTGAAGGTGGAGACCAGAGAGATCATCTTCATCATCATCAGTGAAGGTGATGAAGCTCGGACATGTGTGAGCGTAAGCCCCGCCCCCAGGTCTGCTCTGCCTCACCTGCTGCAGCAGAAGGAGCTTTGTGTCCTATTTGGCTGAGGAATCTGGGACAGAGGAGCTAATCTCCAGGAGGAAGAGAAGGGATGAGGAAGGGCAGGCTGGGGGAGGAGCTTCAGGAGAAACGATTCAAAGATCAGGATCTACTGGAGATCCAGAGTGAAGCTCACAGATCTCAGAGATCCTGCTGAGACCAAACAGGTGAGATCCGTTCAGACTGCAGTTCTGTTCCCCGACCAGCAGGGGGAACCATCGCCTGCCGGTGAGAGGAGGAGCAGTATGGAGATGAACTGGGCTCATAATGTCCGACAACAAAAACAAAAAACTAATTTTAAACATTTTCTTAGCTATGTTGCATTATTATATATAGTGGGTCGAAAAAAATATTTTTGACTAAGTTTCAAACATAAAAGACTTGAAACGTATTGGATCATAAAGTCTTGGGAAAAAATTAAACTGAAACAAAATATTTGAATTTGAAAATAAAAAGTTCAAAACTGCTCTTCAATTTCAGATTTTTTTTTTCTTTCAAGTTTCCAAATTGTTTTCAGTAATTTTATTAAATTACGTGACCTGGTGGAGCTACAATGGGGCCAAACAGCTTGAAAAAAACAATCAATGAGGCTGGAAAAAAAAAATTCATTTGAAACTTCAAAGAAATGTTACGAAACTTAAAGATTCAAAACCTTTCTTCAGTTTTATTTTACTCTGTTTTTTTTGTTTGTTTGTTTGTTGTGATCTTATGAAACTATATTGAGATCAAAAAGCTTGTAATTTGAAAAAAGTAAACAAATAAAAGATTTCACTTTTTTCTTCAGTTTAAAATCTATTTGTGAGTTTTAAGGCTTTTTTACACATCTTCAGCATTTTTTATTTGTTTGTTACAAACTTTATGGCCCCATAGCTCCACAGCCCCACCTGTACATGACTCCTCTGGAGGACGTTCACCTCCTGAAAGCTGCAGCAGGAGGAGCCACCAGAAGGCCTCCAGCTGGGAGGAGAAGCTCAGAGAATCCAGAGACTCTCTGCTGGAGTTTCAGCAGATTTATTGTTCTGGTTCTGGTTCCGACTCCAAGCTGTTGAGTCTGGGTCACACAGATGGTCTCAGGTCTCACCTGCTGTCCCTCTGCGCATGCTCAGTGACGGTGAGCTCAGCAGATAGAGGCTGCAATCCCTACTAATACCTGCTGGGTGTGGTAGAACAGTCCCCGCCCGGCCGGGGCGCCGCCCGATGCGCCGGTGACGGAATGATGCGCAGCCATGACGTCTCCAGCCGAATCTGATCCATAATCAATAATCACTGCTGATCATCAGCTGTTTGAATCTTCTCTTCTCGCGCTGGTCTCTCCGAGTCTCGCGGTGACTCGCTCTCAGAGGTGCACGCGCTCGGCGGCGCTCGCGCCCGGCTCCGTGCTCGTCCCAGGCGGCGCGCGCTCCCGCAGAGTGATCGGATCGACGTGTCTCGGACAGAGTCGGGCTGCGGTCTCACGCGCTCCTTCACTTTGAATTCGGTCCGATTTCCGGAGCTGAAGAAGAGGAGGAGAGGGAGGAGGAGGAAGGACCGGGAAGGATCCCAGTCCGGAGACGGGAGAACCGGGAGAACCGGGAGCAGCTGGATCACGACCGGAGCTGGAAGAATGAGGAGCGGCTGGATTCTCCTGAGCCTGGCGCTGAGCTGCCTCTGCGGGGCCGCAGTGAGTGGGGACAGGGGGCTTCCAGGGTCCGCGGGGGGTCCGCGGGGGGTCCGCTGTGTTCAGGTGCAGCTGCGGGGCTCAGACACACAAGTTGTTATGATTTCAGTCTGGTTCTGTGAAGACTTAATGACTTGACACGCTTTGCTTAGAGACCTGAGTGTGTTTGTGTGTTTGTGTGTGTGATTTCTGACCTCTCTGCTCCTCAGAGTTTCCTCTGCTTTCACCTTTGACCTTTTACTCCTGTTGTTTTCCCTGATGAAGAGGCTTTTGGTTCATTCTCAGGTCTGCTAGGCCTCCTAATGAAGACTGAGCTGCTCTCTGACTTGTTGCTCTCCTCCTCCTCCTCCTCCTCCTCCTCCTCCTCCTCCATGTGTGTTGTTAATGAGTCAGCGCGATTCGGCCTCCAGAACATCGGTTAACGTGTTTCTGGGGGACCGGTCCAGGAAGTTGAGGTTCTGATCCAGGAGTCAGTCTTGCTGGGTTCCAGCTGTTTGTTATCATGTGAGGCTCTGGTCCAAGTAACGATTAATCATGATGAATCAATAATTGAAATAATCTTAAACTAATTAAGTAATCGATTAACCGTTTACAGACTCAATACTGAAAAGGAAGAAACCCTCTCCACCTGCATCAGCCACCAGATTCTAGAATTGTGGTCTGGGGCCATACAAATTCATTCAGAGGGCCACAATCGGCCCCCGGACCACACTTTGGACCAACAGGTCCGATCCTCAACTTTGAACCGGGTTTGGAAAAGTGAGCAAAGTTCCTGCAATAGAAGCTGAAAACTCTGTGAGGCTGTGAAGTCAATAAATATGACCTTTGACCTGAGCTGCCACAAACGACTGACCTGATTGGCCAGAAGGAGCCAATCACAGAGCAGATTGGTGAAAGTCGGAGAAGCCAAACCTTTGCAACCAGGCCGGATGGTTTGGATCAGAGTGGCTGCTCGGCACCGCAACGCCGTCTGGTTCTCGTCAGAATCTTCAGCATCGCCATGGTTACCGCCTCCGTCTCCATGACGAGCATGTGAGCTGTCATCATGTCACGTTTTCACACCTGACCCAGATTAGTCAGAACCGCCAAACCGTCTCTGAGGGACCGACCCGGGCCCAGCAGTCCGACATCTTCAGACCTGGAAACAACTGGAAAACACCTGGAAACAACTGGAAAACACCTGGAAACACCAGGAAAATACATGGAAATACCTGGAAACACCTGGAAACAACTGGAAAACACCTGGAAACACCAGGAAAATACCTGTAAAATACCTGGAAAACACCTGGAAACAACTGGGAAAATATCTGGAAATACCTGGAAAATACCTGGAAAACACCTGGAAAACATCTGGAAAACACCTGGAAAACATCTGGAAACACCTGGAAAACATCTGGAAACACCTGGAAATACCTGGAAACAACTGGATAATACCTGGAAAACACCTGGACCTATCCAGGTGTTTTCTGGATAGACCTGGAAAACACCTGGATAGACCTGGAAAACACCAGTAATGTTTAGTTTTTCCTCCATGTTTATTTCGGTGTGAACTGGAGCTGATGCTGTTACCCTTGAAGCCATTTTTGAAATGTTTCTGAAGGTTTCTCAACATAACGGATCAGAAAATAAAAACGGTTATAAGCGACAATTATTGTTTTAATTTGGGAAAAATAATTTATTTGGAAAATAAATGTTTGCTATTTAAATCAGCGTCTTTGTCTCATTCCTCACTGGGGGAACGAGGATCGGTTCCATCAGCCGTCACTTAGATTCAAACTAAATATTTGTGTATCAAGGTATTTAGTTTGAAACAAAATGTTTCAAACTACAATAAATATGTATTTATCAAGCTTAATATTTAGTTTGAAGCTAATTATTTACATAAAAAGTCTTTACTAAACATTTAGTAAAGATTTGCATCAAATTATGTAGTTGACCCCTACATGTTTAGTTGGAAATAAATATGTAACTAAATAATTTTCTAGCTCCAAACTAAATATTTAATTAGCAAGTTAAATGTTTAGCTTCAATGTAATTTAGCTAATAAGCCAAATAGTTAGCTTGCAGCTAAATATTTACTAAGATAAATGTGTTTTTAACTAACTAAAGGCTCCAAATTAAATATTTAGTTTGAAGATAAAAATTTAGCTCTGAGCAAATTTTTTAAATGTTTTTTTTCCATTTTTGTCGGTTTTAGTGTTTTATTAGACAGGAAGTGGCTGTCAGCTCCATGTTTTCACCTCCTGGTAACAGGAAGTGACTACCAAAATAAAAGCTGCCAGCAGTCTCTTCCTTCTACCTTCATACCAGAACCGAGCCTGGGTTGCCATGGCGATGCTGACAGACGTCATGTTTCCTGTTCGGGTCGGTTCTGTTGGGTCCAGTCTGAGAAAACTTTGGATCTGCAGATCATTAGTGAACGCATCACGTTCTGTAAGAGCATGTGGGCCGGTCCATTCACACAGAAACAGGTCCATTCACACAGAACCAGGTCCATTCACACAGAACCAGGTCCATTCACACAGAACCAGGTCCATTCACACAGAACCAGCAGTTTCTGAGCCTCCTCTGAAGAGCTCATTAATATTCACACAGTAACTTGTTTGTCCCTGGATCTGGACCGACTCCAGAACCCAGAACAACCAATAAGAGCCTGTTGCTGCCTGACCCGGTCCACAGAACCGGTCCTATGGAAACTGAAGGAGTTTGATGTTCCTTCATCTGTCAGACGCATTGACAGAACCGAACCGGACCAAAGAGTCATCAGAATGACTAGTCCGTCTGAGACTTGGACTAGTCCGTCTGTTCAGAGATCCGAAGGCGTTGAGGCAGGAACCTGCAGCGGTCGGCGTCTTACCGGGTTCCTGGATCAGTTCTGGTTCCTTCAGAAACGACCCAGTCAGACGATCAGCTGCAGGAGAACTCAGTGGTTCCAACAGGGAGGCTGCAACCTCAATACAACCTGAATACAACCTCACTGGAACCTGGTGAGGGACCCGCTGGTGTGGGTTTAACAGAACCATCAGAACTGACCTGCTGTTCGGACCAGACGGTTTGCTGCTTCAGGTCGATAGAAGAAAAAAGCTGAACTATTGGACCCTGGTGGTTCTGTTCCCCTTCTACAGCTCAGAGCTAAGTATTAATTATGAATGAATGAATGAATGACACGGCGGACATTTTTGTATCTTATGACAGGATAAATAACCAGACTAGTTTTTATTGTGTAACTTTACAAACGGCTCCATGGATCCATTTATTCAGCAGAACCAGAACCAAACTGGACCGCTGGTTCTGGATGTCCTGCAGCAGCTTTCAGGTCCAAGTGGACACACACACACACACACACACACACACACACACACACACCCTGACCCAGAGGGACTCACTCTGGATTAGTCCTGAGTAATGGGATCAGAGATCACCACCTGCCGGCCCAAACCGCCGGCCCTTCACCTGGACCTCACCTCCTCCATCCATCTGTTCATCCATCCATCCATCCATCCATCCATCCATCCATCCATCCATCCATCCATCCATCCATCCATCCATCCATCCATCCTGCCTGTAATCAGGTTCTTTTTGGTTCTGGTTCTGAACAGAACCGGTCCAGTTCTGGTGTTTCTCAGGTTAAACTGGTTTCCAGTCTGGAACCAGAATCTGGTTTCTGTCTCTGAGTCTCTGGAGGTTTCTGGTTCTGGAAACAACCGGACTTCGTTTGTTCCTGAGTGACACGTCTTCAGGTTGTCACGACGACCTTCAGTCTGAGCCAATCAGCGGTCAGAACCAGTGACCTGTGACCTGAGGGTTCCTCTGCTGGTTTTCCAGGCGGCGGCCAGGAGCTCCTCTCCCACAGACGACCTGTACCTGGATGACCCGGGGTCGGGCGGTTACTACCCAGAGGACGACGACGACTTCAACTCCGGCTCCGGCTCAGGTAGTCCAGAACCCCCATCCCGTCCGGTCCAGTTCCCGTCTCAGTCAGGATCTTCTGAGGATCCGGTTCTGTGTTCTCAGGTGGAGACGAGGAGATCCTGGAGGAAACGGTGACGGTCAGTAGGATTTATATCGAGCCCAAAGCAGCAGAACCCACCAAGGACTCCACCAAGTTCTTCAGCCCCAAGATGGAGCCGGGGCCGGAGGGACGGGCCAGAGACGGCACGGCCAGGAAACCGGTCAGGACAGAGGTCAGAGGTCACGCTGAGTGGGTCCGTCATAAGAACGGTTCTGTTGCTGTAAATAACAAAGGGACCAACAGGAACTGAATGGAGCTGATTTTAGGGTCTGCAGTGAATTAATCACATTTTAATCAAGAAGTATTGACAAAATTAGTAATTAGTCAATTCAAAAGCCATTTTTGCCATTAAATTATTGAAAAAACAGACATATTTATAGAAACATTTAGTTTTAATCTGTTTTTCAGGTTTGGAGCAAAGAGTTTCAGGAAGCCCTGGTCATTCATGGGGCTTCTTCAGACGCTGACATTAGCATTAGCTGCTAACTGGTTAGCACTGAGATGCTGTTTTAGGCTTGAAAAGATTCTCTGATAGGCTAACTCCTTTTAGCACACCTTGAACACAACATCATCGTTTCCACTGCCCAATCAGATTGTTTACTGACAGAAGCAGATTCCTCGTCCATCGTTGCTGTTAGCGGCTGTAGCTTGTGAGTCCATGTTGGCCACACTTCCAGACACTGAGCAGCTAAAGTTGGAGTAAATTATTGCAAAGATGTCACGGTCCTGCTCCATGCAATTTCCAGCAAGCTTCATAGTTTTACTGGGAATTTCATGCATCACGTCCAAACGTCAGTGATTGGGTGAAATCAGAGCCAATCATTTCAAGCTTCAACAGAGGCCCCGCCTCCAGGAACGAATCGTTTCTCACTAACTGAGCGTAGACTGTCTGGATGAAGTGAAGTCGGGGTAAAACGTGACGTCTGAAGACTGTCGGCCCTGATCGGTCAGAGGATGGAGACGGTTGGGTCTGAAGCGTATGTGGAGTTTTTAAGGACGGCGCAGGATGTTCAGATAGCTGCCATGTTCCTCCTTGTTGATCCGGTTGAACTTTGGGCCTGACCCGACCCAGAGCTGCCGCTCCGCTGTGACGGAAAACCAGCCTCACTGCAGCGATGAGCCCAGTTCAGATGCTCATGGGAAAGAACCAGTAGTAACGCTGCGTCTCCTGTTCTTCCTCCCACAGCCCCCAGTTCCAGTCACAGAGGACCAGCAGAGGAACCAGTTAACCAGAACCACCGAGCCTCCGGGTCCTCCTCTGGAACCCGTTGAAGTCCGGACTGAAAACCTCTTCCAGAGGACGGAGGTGTTGGCAGGTTGGTGCTTCAGGCTGCGGGCATAAAGACAACCTGCTGACCAACAGCAGCTCAGAGCCGCAACGAAGCCAAAACTGCAGAAAAACATAAAAACATTTTGCTTTTCAGATAAAAAACCTTCCGTCTGTAAATCTGTTCTGAAGCGTCAGAGTTCATCTTTAGCTTCAGCTGGTCCAAACTCTGTAAAACAAAAACTGTCCTAAGAAGAACCTTCTGCATCTCATCAATAATCAGTGAATCAATAAATGATCACCAGATCAGCTGTGTTGACGTTCAGCTTTTCTCATGTTTGTTTATTTAGCTGCAAATGATCAAACGTTCACAAAGGGATTGCTGCTCTCGCATTTTAGGCAATAAGAGGTTTGTCTCATTTAAAAATTAATGAAATTGTTTATTTGCATCTTTTAATATATTTATGATATAGCATATAAGACAATCTATGTGATTAAATAGAAAATCTGCAGAATGTGGCATTTTAAAAAATAGAATGATCGATTGATCGTCAGAACGATCGATTGATCGTCAGAACGATCGATTAATCGTCAGAGTGATCGATTAATCGTCAGAACGATCGATTAATCGTCAGAATAATCGATTTCTAAATGACTTGTTAGCTGCAGGTTGGATCAGACGACCTCCACCTGCGTCGCGCATTCTGACCCGTCCACATGTGGCCGGGACTAAACCGCCGTGTGACCGGTTGACACCAGTTTAACCTTTGACCCCGTGTCTCTCTCTCTCAGCTGTTATTGCAGGCGGCGTGATCGGCTTCCTGTTTGCCATCTTCCTCATCCTCCTGCTGGTTTACAGGATGAGGAAGAAGGACGAAGGCAGCTACGACCTGGGAGAGAGGAAGCCTTCGGGAGCAGCCTATCAGAAAGCTCCGACCAAGGAGTTTTACGCGTG